CACAAAAGCCCGGTGCAAATGGTGCAAATCATCCTTCCAGCGCCTTGGCCAGAGCAATCTCCTCCATGATGATGTTCTCTTGCAGAACTGGTGTCTGTCTGTCTGTCTGTGTGTATGTTGGGGGTAGGTTTCTGCAGGCATCATCTGTGCATTTGGCAACCACGTAAACTAATAAACCCCATTCAACAGAGGAGAAAATCAATGATCACTCTCACTCTGAGCCTGTCTATATCCTATCAGCTCTCTCTTTAGCATTTAATTATACCCTACCGCGCATACACACACATTTCTAACCCATGTGAAAAGACACATTCAGAGCTTTGGATCAAATCAATCTGCTTTGAGCTGGGGGAGGTTCACTGTGTCTGTTTTAATGGCAAATGTTTGATTTTTCAGAGTGGCGTCAGGGACGACTTGCCCGAGTGGTCCTGCAGGATGAAGACATCACCACTAAGATTGAAAATGATTGGAAGAGGCTCAACACTCTCATGCACTATCAGGTACAAAAGAGGACACACACGCTTACACATAATCTCATGGTGCCCTCTTCTGTCTAAACGAGTAAACATTAAAGGGGACGTATCATGGATTTTCTTTGCTCTATTGATAGAAAAAAAGAATCTGATGTACTATGTAGACATCTCCCCAGTGCAAAAATAGTAAAAATGCATGTTTTAATCTGTATTTTTCCTAGTTAACATATATAAACTTCTTTAAAGCGATATAATAGAATTACAAAATTATAATGCTAAAAAACGGCTCAACACTCTCATGCACTATCAGGTACAAAAGAGGACACACACGCTTACACATAATCTCATGGTGCCCTCTTCTGTCTAAACGAGTAAACATTAAAGGGGACGTATCATGGATTTTCTTTGCTCTATTGATAGAAAAAAAGAATCTGATGTACTATGTAGACATCTCCCCAGTGCAAAAATAGTAAAAATGCATGTTTTAATCTGTATTTTTCCTAGTTAACATATATAAACTTCTTTAAAGCGATATAATAGAATTACACAATTATAATGCTAAAAAACTGTAGATTATAGCACTTTGAAAGCATCAGGAATCATTAAAAAAAACTCTGCAGGAAGGACAACATGCTACAAAAAGAAATCCTCTGTATATCCATTTAATTCCTCAGACATGAAACAACAATTAAGCTTAATACAACAACAAAAAAACATTTCCTTTATCTCGCAGTGCTCCAAAATGTCTCGCTGTGAGTATGTGAGTGACAGCAGATCTCTCACTGAATCAGACTACACAGGACAATATAATATAGGACAATTGCATTGAAAATGTTAAGTGTGTAGCTGGAAAAGTGTCTGTGTGTGTGAGAGAGAGAATTTGTCCTTTAACTTCAGTGGATTAATTACAGCCTTTACCTTGTCTTAACTTCAGACACCACAGAGACAGCACACGTCAGAGCAGCTACCTGATAACAGCACTTATTGAGAGAGAGAGAGTATGTGCACTGCACATTTTGCCTCTTTTTGTGTCCAGAGGAGATGCCACAGGACATGCTCACAGATATTTTTATAATTACTACTGAAAGAGCTCATCATATGTCATAATGTGGGATCTGAGGATGAGACAGACGTTTGAACGCTAGCGTGGTCGTTTTTCTCTAGGCTCTGCTGCTTCTCCCACTCGCTCACTCTCTTTCTTCTTTCTCACTCATCCAGTCTTACTTGAAATCAGTGAGTCTCTTGACCTTGCGTAGGCTGAATGACATTAGAGGACTGGCAGCCTGTCCCTGAGGGACCACTGTACTCCTCAAATTTCCAATTTAAATAGTTGGAGCTGCATGAGAGACACTGGCATGAACAATTCAAATAAACAGCTCTCTGTCAATGTGTGCATTATTATCCCTCACAGGAAATGTAACAGCAGTATTTATATAGCACAGTACTTTCAACAAGGCGCTTTGACTAGGAGTCTGCAAAACTATGTATTTCCAAACTCCACTAGTTACCTAAACCTAAACTAGATTGGCAGTCTTAACTGGTTTAAGGTGGAGTTTAGCTGGTCTGCCTAAACCTGACCAGCTGACAAGTGCCCAAAACCTTTCTAAAACCATCAAAACAGACAAGGTTAAATTCACCAGCAGTCCTGTTTAAGCCCAAAGTATACTCCGGCCATCTGTGTCCCTTGACGGTCCGCACACTGTCCTCGTGACACAATTTTTGTCATCAGGGGTGTCCACATGCAGCCCAATTTTTGTGACCGTGCGGATGGTCTGCGTACATCAGCGCAGGTGCAAGGTAAATGTTGAGGCTGAACGAGTCAAGTCGGTGGTCCGTGCTTGAGTATACTTTGAAAGCTATGTAACTTGTGCTAGATGGAATGGAACACGGAAAGTTAAGTATACCAAGGCCTTCAGACTGATGTAAGTTGTTTTCAGCAGGGTTCCTTCAGACCAACTACTCTTACATAGTTAAATAGTAAGCAGAAGCAACATTTTAGTTTTTTTTTTTTAAGTCTCTGAAGTTCACCAAGACTGCATTTACTGTATCTATTTATTGAGATACAGTAAAACAGTAATAATTTAACATTTAAAATGATTGTTTTTATTCTAATATATTTTGAAATATTACAATAAGTTATTCCTGTGATGGCAGAGATGCATTTTCAGTAGCCATTACTCTAGTCTTCAGTGTCACATGATCTTTCAGAAATCATTCTTATATGCAGATTTGGTGCTCAAGAAATATTGCTTATTATTATTAATGCTGAAAACAGTTGTGCTGCTTAATATTTTTGTGGAAACCATGATACATTTTTTTATTCAGGATTGTTTTTGATGAAATAAAAAGTTCAAAAGAACAGCATATATTTGAAACAAATCTTTTGATAGTGATCAAGAAATATTTATTATTAACAATAATATTGAAAAAAGTTGTGCTGCTTAATATGTTTGTTTTTCGGGACTCTTTGATGAATAGTTCAAAAGAGCTGCATTTATTTGAAATGGAGACCTTTTGTAACGTTATAAATGTCTTTACTGTCACTTTTAATCAATTTAATGCATCCTTGGTTAATATACGTTCATTTTTAAAGAAAAAAATCAGTCGAGTGAATAATTCATTGACTCACTTATAAAACAGTATTGTTTTGTTTTTGAATGAATTCATGTATTGATTTTAAATTTATTTATAATTAATAATTTTAAAAATCTAGATAACATGCGAGTCTTTCACAGTGCACTTTCACAGAAACAGCTGTGTATTGTTTTGTTTTTGAATGAATTCATGTATTGATTTTAAATTTATTTATAATTAATCATTTTAAAAATCTAGATAACATGTGAGTCTTTCACAGTGCACTTTCACAGAAACAGCTGTGTGTGTGTTTAGCACAAGCCCTTGATGCTCATAAGTTAGCTTTGTTGGCTCCAAAAGAAAATAGATAAGCATCTCTGTTGTATATCATTGTGTAAGACGCTTGGCATAGATCACTGCCGTGGGTTAAGCTGTCTTTTCAAGTGCTGACAAAGCTCAAGGACTTACAGTCTGACATACAAGCCTGTTTGTCAACTGCTCATCACTTATACTAGACATGCAATGTAGATGTACGTTATAGTGTATATTTGACCAGTTAGAGTTGAATTCCCTTGGATTTTCCTCTTCAGGCATCTTATTTTACATCTCAACGCATTTACCATCTGTATTATGATGCTTTCATCCATTTCAGCTATTAAATGCCTATCATTCTGCTGTGTTTATCATGTGGCAAAGGCGTTTCACGCTTTTTATGCTAGCGTGACCAAGCCTGCCGTATTTCAAAGAAGAGGCAGAATGGCGGACACATCACCTCATCCTTCCCCACCGCCTGGATGCGGCGTCTGCGTTAAAGGCACGTTAGCTTGCGGATCGCCATCAGATAGAGCACAGACAGGGGATCAGAGATACATGGGGGAAAAGGGGTCAGTTGTCTGCTTGATGCAAATGTTATCATGAGGAAAGCTAACCCCTTATTACTCTCACACCCACTGGCGGCCCGCCTACCTGGCTGAGGATTATCCCTCAAGGGCGAATGCATCTCCCCTCCATCATTTAGGCTCCATACGGCCGCCTCCTCCACCTTAGAGACCCGCTGTGAGAGAAGAAGAGTAGAGTGTGCATGGGGCGGCACTGTAGGTGCCAAAAATAAAAGTTACAAACCCAATTACTCAAAATAATGTTCTTTTTTTTTCTCCAATGACTAATATTTGATGCTTACCAGTTCTACAACCCATGGAGGGAGAAAGTGAGCTATAAAAAAGGCGTTTGTGAGTGTCATCGCACTTGGCCAACTCTCTGAGGTGATTCGTTCACAGTCCTGGACTCTTTCAAGTGTCTCTCCAGTCAGTCTACTAGGCTACTCTGCAGTGAGGGTCGGCCGAGGAGAAACCTGCACTAATGGGGCTGGTGCTTATGGGGGCGTACAGGGGCTAAAGTAACACCATCATCGGCCGCGAGAGTGTAGGGAGGCGAGTGAAGACTCCTGACTACCCTCAGCCTTCACAGGAGCTCAGGAGGTGTTTATTGCCTCCATTATGGTGGACAGAGAGGTATTATTAAATGAAATGGACTCAAAATGTGATGTTTTATGTTGACAGGAGATCATAAGACTGAGAGACCTTTGGCTTATAGATGAGGTTTTTGACCTATATTCAGTAGAAATTGAATAAAATCATTATCATAATCATGTATGATTAGTAGGTGGTGTCACCTGATGGTTATATATGGAAATTTATAGATGGATGGATGGGTGGATAGATTTTTTTATATATGTGCACTGCCAAAAATAAGATTTTTTTAAAAGAAATTCATACATTTATTCAGCAAGGATGCATTAAAATTGATCAAAAGTAACAGTAAAAACTTTAACATTGTAACAGCATATTAGAATGTTTTCTACAGGATCGTGTGACACTAAAGACTGGAGTAATCCAATAAAAGCGTCTGCTAAATGACTAAATGTAATGTAAATGTAAATATAACACATTTATAAAATTCTCTGTGTTACAGCTAAACATCTCATTTGTAAGTTGCTTTGGATAAAAGCATCTGCTAAATGACTAAATGTAATGTAAATGTAAATATAACACATTTATAAAATTCTCTGTGTTACAGCTAAACATAGAGATCAAGATAAGCACCTCAAAACCAGATAGTATGAGAATCTGCCAGGATTTTGCCAGCTTGCTTTCAGGAAGTTGCTTTCTTGTGCTGAATCGAGGTTGAGTCAGTTGTCTTTGTGAGAGTAGACCTCATTTCCTCTGCAGCCCTTGACAGTTCAGATTAATACAGAAGATCAGACGGAGTGCGAGCACTCACAGAGCAGACAGAGAAAAATGGAGAGTTTCACCCCAATGTATAAAAGTCCTGGACTCCATAACCTCATCTTTTCTCATCCCTTTCTACTTTCTCATCCTCTAAATGACTAAATCACTACATTCCCTCACCTGTCAAACTCTTCCTGTTGGCCTGCCTTTGTATTTGTATTTTTACATTACCCTCCATTCTAAATCTTAGCTACTCTCTATTCTCTGTCTGTGTACATGAATACAACTGGAGCCATGTTGATTATGGTGTGGATTATTTATTTATTTATATTGCTATGGATTATTAAAAGCTTATAGTACAGGTTATTTTTTATATTACTGATTCTTATTCTCTTATTTTTAAAAAGCTTAAGGTGCAAGTTAATCTTTTTATTATTGTTTTTATATTTCCATGTATTATTATTAAAAATTATTTTAATTTATAGTTATTATTATTTTTAACATATTTATATTATTATTACCAATGTGGCTCTCTGTGGTGAAAAGGTGCAAAATTTAGCAAGATTTCTTCCCTCTAATTTTAATATTCTCAGTTATGGGATGGATTAGCACTGTAGTTGCTTAGCAACAGGGATATAAAAAATATGCAAGCTCAGCACTGTTGGTCAGTTTGAGTGACCTCAACCTTGCATTCATGATGTCCAAACCTTGGTGATACATGTGCATTTAATTTCCTTTTTCCTTTCTCTTCTTCTTGGACCGCTCATATTGCAGCTTACAGCTATATTTTATACTCATTCAGCTCAGTACCTATCTTTCTGGAGGGTACAAGGCACAACAGGCAGTGAACGATGCCATTACTTTTCAATGAGCCTCCCTCTCTCTTTTACTCCATCCGTCATCTTTGAGTACTGTAGAGTGACAAGCGTCCCAGTGAAGGAGATCTCATGTGCTGTCATATGTAAATATGGGTTTCTCGTCTAATCACAATTCTTTTTCTGTGCAAAACACGAGAGGCGAAACTCTCTCGCTTTTACCTGAGAAAAGGCTTTAATGCACATTTGATCCAAGAACACATGCAGCGTGAACACCCCTTATACATTTATAACTAGAACAGATCTTTTTGAAGCACTTTAACGTCGCTTTATTTCAGCACTGGGGAGAAACTTAACAATTTCACACCGTTTTTGTAAAGCAATAGATGTGTACTGAGAATCTGTTCGGCAAAAATATATTTAATTCCGAAGTAATAACAACTCCTCAAGAGCAGAATAAACCGGCATTAGTTTTGCTCCACTATCTTGAACGTTTCTTGATAATAAGAGGCTGTGAAACCAAAACCTGTGAAATAAGTATTACAGGGAAAGGAAAGAAGCTTGACTTGAACGTTGTATTTCTTGTACAGGTATCAGACCGCTGTGTGGTTGCTTTGGTGCCCAAGCAGACGTCCTCCTACAACATTCCACCCACAACTAGCATCTCTCGGACTTCTATCAGTAGATACGGTGAGTATATTTGTCAGATGATAATGATGGTGGCTGTTTAGCTAATTAGAAGTTTGGAAGTTTTTTCATTGTTTCACAATACAAAGGTCTTTGAGGTAAAACACAGCTGAAGATTTGCTTTAAATTATGATTGTGTGCACAAGCCACGTGCTGCAGTTTTGCTTTACAGCCCATTGGATGCCAAAGGGAGCCTTCTGGGCGCCAGAGAATGAGAGCGAGAGACCATGTCAGGAAGGGTAAAAGGAAGAGAGAGAGGTGTTAGCAGTTAGTAGTAATGCTGATTTCTCCATTCATATCAATTTAATGCTCAACACTTAGCAGCTCGGCTCAATTTAACATGCCAGCACCCCTGGCCCAAAATAACACACTGCTCACACGCCTCTGACTGGCTGAACCGGGCAACATACACATTGAAAACGCACGGCGTCGATGTACACACCAGATTATGCTGATATGTGATCAAGCGCTCTTATTAACACCCTAACACACATTAAGGGTGTACTCACACTAGGCACGGTTGCCTTGAACTGAGCCCGAGCGCG